ACGTTCGTTTGTGACACAATTTTTTAGGTTTCATATCAATTACAGTTGCTACGAGATGAAATTTTCAACAGAGTGACTGTACAAGTTCTGATAAACCAATTTAGTTTAAATTGTTAATTATACAAAAATCAATGTAACGTGTTCGTAATTGTTCAAACGTATTCGCAATTGTTCCTTCGCGAGTTAGTTATACACTTTCCTAGTGTTTTTTTCTCCTTGTGAGGAAACATCGATAACGCCGATAACTCTAGATTTTTCCTGTCGTATATCATCATACGAAGTTTGATGTTCGGCATCAAGATCGATTGCTGAATGTTCTCGTTTCCCTTGCGATTTCTATCTTTTCACGCGAAGATATTAGATTGTTGCTTATTTTACAGAAATTTATGTTACTAAATAACAAGTTAATTAATCAATACTAATTGTATCAATGATATTCACTTAATATTATTAATATATTAACAATATTGATTCGACTTTTGTTAGTGTTTCGTCAATTTTATTGCAAAGATAGTTTCATTATAAAAAAAAAAAAAACCAACAATGCATTCAATATCAATACAAATTAAGAGAATGAGTAATCTGTCATTTATGTGAAAAATTTCGATAAAATAACCAAAATCGACCCAAGATTTTAATTGTAATAATTGTAACTTTGACATGATCAAGTATTTAATTTGGCGAATTATAAACTTCATGCTGACATATGTCAAAATTCTGATTATTTCATCTGCAACAATCTAATGTCAATAAGAATATTCATTATTGAAAATTTACCTTGCATGATTAATAAATTGATTTGTATATTGATTAGCAAATTCGAGTTTCACAACAGGTTTCTAAGCTAGTTCTGAGCAAAATAATGTAATTAGTACACTTGTGTGCCATGCACGACAGGATGAACAACGTTTACAATTTCCAAACAACCTGTTGTAAATTATACTCTGTAAATAACGAGCAAATAATTTATCACCAGCTACGATACGAATACTTTAAGATAGATTTATTCCTACTTTATAAGCAATTTTTC